AGAAGAAAAATTTCGAATCGGGAAATCGGGAAATTTTTCCTGAAATTCGAAACGAATTCCACTTCGCCTGGTTCGATTCGCTCATCTCTAAATAATAATGTACACCCAACAAAACCATGTGGTTTAAATGCTATTGATTTTTGTATTACATGTGAGTGGGCATTCTGGCTATACATTTTAACCACTTGCCCTCCTGAGGATTTACCCCCCTTAATGACCAGGCCTCTTTTTGCTACTCAGCGCTGCACTAATTCAACTGATAATTGTGCGCGGTCATGCAATGCTGCACCCAAACGAAATTTACGTCCTTTTTTCACACAAATTGAGCTTTCTTTCGGTGGTATTTGATCACCTGTGCGCTTTTTATTTTTCACGCTATAAACAAAAAAAGACCAAAAATTTTGAAGAAAAACGATATTTTTTACTTTCAGCTATAAAAAAATATATAGTAAACTCAAAGTTAGTTATAAATTTAGGCCAAAATGTATTCTGCTACATGTTTTTGGTAAAAAAAAAAAATCCCAATAAGTGTATATTGATTGCTTTGTGTGAAAGTTATAGCGTCTAAAAAATATGGTATAGATACTGCAATTTACGCCATTTTTTTGCTATACAGCTCTGCGCTAGTTTATTGGACAATTGCGCGGTCATGCAATACGGTACATAAATGAAATTTATGTCCTTTTTTCACACAAATAGAGCTTTCTTTCGGTGGTATTTGATCACCTGTGCGTTTTTTATTTTTTGTGCTATAAAAAAAAAAATCCAGCTGGTGACGGATTCATTTCCTGAGACCACCTGCATCTGAAGTTGTTACCCGCATTTGTTCCACAATTATAGGACTTGTTCTTTACGTGAACTTTCCTTGCGGTCATTGTCATTATTGTTACTGCTTTTTTTGAGATTGGTGGTTTGTGGGGGTCATATTTACACATCTTGGACACAAGGGGCTTTTATCATTCATGGTTTTCTCCCACATATGGGATTGAATTGGAGGTCATTTTAGAGGGGCACGTGTTTTGTTCCAGTAGTTTATTTGTTTCTGAAGGTCACTTTTGTAGTGTCACATCAATATCACTTTATTTATGAGAATGATTTAGGACCTTTTTGGTCCCACGGATAGTGTTATTGCACATATATTTGTGCATTTAGGTTTTAGGGTCACATATGTTGATGCCATCTTTTGGGCATCTGGGAGTTCACTTTTATCCCTTTTAGCCTTCTGCCTTCAAGACGGCTTGACATCATTCATTATCTATTGTGTTTCTATTACTGTTTCAGCACTTTTCCTGATTGGTTCCCGTTATTTTCACCAGTTTTTTTTATTAGGCATTATTAGATGTCACTTTCAGACATCTGGGAACACATTTACACTTTATTATTATTATTATTATTATACAGGATTTATATATCGCCAACAGTTTGTGCAGCGCTGTACAATATAAGGGAGACAGTACAATTACAATACATTTCAGTACAGAAGGAATATGAGGGCCCGCTCGTGGAGCTTACAATCTAAAGGAAGGGGGAGGTGATACAAAGGTGATAGCTGCGGGGGATGATCTGGTGGAGGTGATTCAAGTACAGTTCTTAGGTGAAGGTGGGGTAGGCTTCCCTTAAGAAGTGAGTTTTCAAAGATCGCCTACAGGCAGACAGGGTGGGGGCTTTATATTTAGGAGGTTTTTTCACATTTTCATTGGACACTTTATCACACTTTGTTCACCATTTTTCCTGGTCAGTCCGTGGCTTTGTTTCTTTTTTCTCTTTGGTTTCTTCAGTTCTATAATATTACATATGTGTGGTCTAATATTTTCACTTGTTTATTACTGAGTTACTGTTTATTATGATTTATTATGGGCAGCACAGTGGCTAAATGGTTAACATTTCCGCCTGGCAGTACTAGGGTTGTTGGTTTGAATCCCAGCCACGTCACCACCTGCCTGGAGTTTGCATGTTCTCCCTGTGCCTGCGTGGGTTTCCTCTGGGTACTCCGGTTTCCTCCCACACTTCAAAGACATGCTGGTAGGTTAATTGCCTCCTAAATTGGCCCTAGTATGTATATGAATGTGAGTTAGGGATCTTAGATTGTATGCCCCTTGAGGGTTAGGAACTGATGTGAATGTACAATATATATATATGTGTAAAGCACTGCGTAAATGGACAGCGCTATATAAGTACCTGAAGTAAATAATGTGTAGTCATGGAATCTCCACCTTTTTCTATCTGGGCATATAGTCAGGTTATAGCCGCTCCCCCTTTCCTTGTACAGGCAGGTAGCGCAGGAGTTTATTCTATATACTTTTGTCAACACATGGGCTACCAAAGTGCAAGCGAGGTCACTTTAACTGCAGCAGAAAAAATCAGGTCCTCTGTCCTGGCAGATAGGGCAGTGCTGTGTGTGAGGGCTATAAAGTAGCACAGTGTTAAATAGCAGAAAAATATCCCTGGTCATAAAGGGTGTAATAGCTTCTGGAAGTCAAGTGGTTAACGACATAACGCTTTACTGTAATCCACATACCGTCGGTTGCTGTTCTATAAATCAATAGCAGCACTAACTACGTATCACGTGACAACTAACAGCCCAAGCCAACATCATTATGAACACTCCCGGACGCCTTCACCCACCCAGGACCAAGAACAAGCCCTCTGGCTCCGCCTACACCCCGGAAGTAATACGAAAATTCGGCCCTCTAGTTCCTGGTGGTGACGTAGTGCCGGGAGAGCGGTGTTGGGATTGGCTCTCGTTTTCCCGCGCACTTTGTGTTGTTGCTGTCAGATTCCCGTGTCGCGCCGTGTCTCCTCATGGACCTGTCATTGTATGACCCCGCTAGCCTGCCGGACCTGCTGCCGCTCTACTACCGGAGGATCTTCCCATTCTTCCAGTACTACAGATGGCTCAACTACGGTGGCGGTGAGCACACAGCAGCGTCCTATGTCATTGTGAGCTGTGTTCTGTCCTCAGAGACCTCCGCTGTCTGTTCTCTGACTGCTGTCCACATGGGACTCTGTATTTTGCGGATAGCTGCACATACAGCGCCATGGATGTAGCTGCCACTGTATAATCAATGTTCTAATCGTCTCTATTTGTTATGTGATTCTTTACCAGACAGGTTTTCTGGATCACAGCAGATGGAATAGTATTTTTGGCTGTAAGGCCTGCTTCACACAGCTGCCCAGGCATGTTTTCAGGGCCGGTTCACACTATAGAAACGCAGGCCGGATGTGTTCTGGATGCGCTTTGCATGCGTTGTTGTTGGTGTGTTTTCGATGCGTTCCAGTGTGGTTTTTTTTTAATACATTACAGTTCATTTTTTCCCCTTTCTTCAATTTAAATAGAGACGTGTGTTCCGGTGCATTTCTGATGCGTTTTTCTGTGCCGAAAAAATGCAGCATGTTCTTTTTTTTTTTCTACAAATGGAACTGCAAAGCACTGATGTTAAAGTGGAGCTCCACCCAAAAGGGGAAGTTCCGCTTTAAGGACAGGTCCCCCGCTCCCCATTAAGGATTGGCACCTTTGGGGAGCAGGTACCCGAATTTGACAGGTACCCGCTCCCACTTCTGGTCCGATCGCCTAGGCGATCAGAAGCGGAAGGTGTCCTCCCTCCCTGTAGTCTTTTGGGACACGTGACAGGTCCCAGAAGACTACAGGACCATTTATGAAGTGCAGTGCTACCCACGCATGCGCAGTGGGTACCCGGCTGTGAAGCCCCAAGCTATCACAGCCCGGTGCCCACACCGAAGATGCCAGCGCCTGGGACACAGGACGGCCGGTAAATCGGGCTGCGGGGGACAGGTAAGTGTCTGTTTTTTAAAAGTCGGCAGCTACAGTTTTTGTAGCTGCTGACTTCTAGTTTTTGATAGGTTAAGTGGCACTCCGCATTAACTATGACTTTGACAGCCATGTAACCTCCTTTCTGTGCGTTTTGTATGCAGAAAAAAAGCAACTGAAACACATGTAGTGTGAACTGGCCCTCAGTGCTGTTGCAGTTTGAATGCCAGTTGTGCGGCCATGCAACACTGTACCCGTATGACATTTTTATCATTTTTTTTCTCTACACAAATAGAGCCTTCTTTTGGTGGTATTTAATCACCACTGGGTTTTTTATTTTTTGCACTATAAATTGAAAAAGAGTGAAATTTTTGAAAAAAAGGTTTTCTTTGTCTCTACTATAAGATTGTGCAAACAGGTAATTTTTCTCCTTCACTGATGGACTTTGATGAGGAGTCACTAATAGGCACAGATTGGCAGCACTGCTGGGCACTTTTGGGGCTACACTGATAATCAGTGCCCTGCTTATCAGTGCAGATGTCTCCTTTTGACAGTTGCTGGATATTGGCAGCACTTTCGGAAAATACTACCGATAACAAGTGTATTTACTTGGTGGTCAGCTGTAATTGGCATGATAGTCAGCTGTGATTGGACACAGCTAATCACGTGGTAAAAGGCTGCTGTGATTGACCTTTTACCATGTCATGTGATCAGCTGTGTCCAGGTCAGGGAGGGCATCATATGACGCCCTCCCAGAACTGGACGACCGCTCTGTAGCTGTCATCTGGCTATAGTGTGGTAAGGAAGCAGTTAAATGTAATCCTGTGCAAGAGCTGTGTTTGCATGTGTGGGGATGCACTGTGATTCCATGCAAAACTAACCTTGCTTTGATCCCACTGACAAAAAATTGAATGTTCCTAAAATTAAAGATTTTGAACAAAATTGTACTAATGTGTGGCTAGCCTTAGTAAAGGTAAATTTCTCTAAGTCCTGGTTCACATCTGTGAGGTCATGCGGGCCGCAATTTGCACAGGCACAAGAGCCCATTCATTTGAATGGACCCCCATGCCGGGGACACGCAGGGAAAGAAGTCCCTGCACTACTTTGAAAATCGCAGCCCTCAAGGGAACCAAGGTTCCCAGTACGCATGTGATTTCAAGTGCGGGGGCATGCCATTTGAATTAATGGCATCCAACTGCAGGTTCTACATTCCTCTATGCGGGTGGTACGGCTGCAGGTATTTGTGCAGGCCACACAGATGTGAACCGAGTATAAATGCTCATTGACACTGGCCTTAAAGCACTTGTACTTACAGGTAAGCTTCCCTGTAGGTACAAGGAACATCGTCTAAATGTGCACCGTTTAGGAGATGTTCAGTGTTTCTGCAACAGAGCACATTATGCTCTTGCAGGGAAAATTTTATTTATAATTATTATTATTCAGGATTTATATAGCGCCAACAATTTACGCAGCGATTTACAATATAAAGGGGGAAAATACAAGTAAAGACTACACAGGGTTCTGATCTCACACACACACACACACTCCTGAACTGAAAAGAAATTCAGTTTTTCATAGGAGTGGGAAGGGGTTTGAACTTGCCAGAGGTTCTGAGATATATAGCACTTTAAGCTTGTTTTGAAAAGATCTCTTCTATTATCCACTTCCTGCTCGGCCTATTGTAAAATGACAGTCTGTGGGACATCATTTGACATTCTCTTGGAATGGGCCTCGTGCATGACTGTCTTGCGATCTGTCACTGGCTGTGTCAACCAGATACAACTGATGACAGATCACTGTACTGGGCCGCTTCCGGTACGATGAATGACTTCGATTTATTCATTGTGTACAGTTGTGGTGTTAGCTGTGATTGGGCACAATGAACACATGGTACAGTCAGGGCCAATTACAACCCATCTGTACAATGTGATTAGCTGTGGCCAAGCACAGCTAATCACAACAATACACACTGAATGAATCAACTTCAGTCAGTAAAAATGGTTGCTTATATCCGTGGAATTCACTGGTATAAGCAGTCATAATCCTGATCACTTCCCCAGAGTAGTACAATGTTACTACGGTAATGTTATTTTGCTCTGGTCACAGTGTGTTAGAAAAAAAATATAATAAAATCAAAAAAAAAAAATTGTTAAAATATAATAAAATAAAAAAACAAAAATCTCCATACTGTCACCATTGTTCTTGAGCACTGCCATATCAGGTATATGATGACGCTGTACTACAATGGTGATGAAAAATTTGTGGAAAAAAAAAAATTTTTTTTAATGCCTTCGTTCTCAACTTCAAAAAAAAGTCACCATGCCTATTACTAAATACCTTGTACTGTCTACTTTCCATTTGGGGGATATCGGTACTGTCCTGACATTTTTGGGCCTCAAGAAATTAGGTAGGCCATCAGTACATCAGGACCGATCAATTTTCAGATATATACCATAGTTTGTGGACTCTATAACTTTCCTACAGACTAAATATGCACTGAATTGAGTTATTTTCACCAAAGAAATGTAGCATGGCCTAAATGTATGGAGAAAGATTATTTGCAAAATTCTATAACGGAAACCAAGAAAAACACATTTTTCCTCTCCCCGTCTTTCAGGACAGCACCTTGAGAGACCTCGGCTCCTTCCCACCTGAGGAAACAACTCCACTCAGAATAAAAGTGCGGCCTCCCCACCGACCTCAGTAATGGTGTTTTTCTACAGTGGGAAGATACGGTCTTGGAAGGACCGCACTGTGCCTGGAAGATGGGGGGAGGGGGGGTGTCCCTCACCTGCATCTTGCTCCGTGCTGGGCGTCCACTCTTCGGTTTCCAGGGGGACCGAGGGAGAAGTACCGCCGCCCCCACGAAATGTGCCGGAAAATGGAGCCCTGGCTGGGCCCGATGATGGGGGACATCACTTCTGGTGGAGGGGCGGGACTTCCTCCCGGGGCGAGGCTAATGGCCGCGTCCCTTGAAACGTGGACCAGAGTGCGTTGGTGCTGAAGGCTGCATCCTGCAGAGGTGGGCGACGCAAGACCTCAGGGCAGACTACCACCTTGGAACATGTCCGGAGCAGAAGCGCCGGGACCAGGTGACGTCCGTGCCAGCCTCAGAGGAGATTTTTTTTTTTTTTTCCCTGTCTGGCCCCCAGCTCCAGAGGGTGTCCTCAGCCCTCCTGGTGGTCAGAGGGGCTAGAGCACGGGGTGGGAAGGGGTCTCAGCTGGAGGACTCCCACGCCCTGCCAGAAGGGGGTGGCCAGTCCATGTCTTTGGTTAATGGGAGCCTTGTTTTCAGGAGAAAGCCAGGGAGAAGTCCAAGCCGCACCGCAGGGCTGAAAAGAAGTGCCCCTCATGCAAAGTGACCTTCAAAGACTCCTGGACGAAGTGTGCTGTGTGAGTCTTGTGTTGAGGGCCTGATCAGGGAGGAAGTTCTTTCTCAGGGGGACCTGGTTAAATCAGAGAACTGACAACTACCTTTGATTCCTTTAGGTCTCTGGTCGAGAATTTATCTCTGCCTCAGGCAAAGACCACACCCCCTCCCCCCCAACAAATCAAGGTTTCCCCAGCAACTAATAAGGAGGTGGGGGGTCCAAGAGCCGAGTTGGTGAAGGAGGACCCATCCCCAGACTCAAATTCCCAGGCAGACTCTGAAGGGGAGGATCCCTCGAGCATGTCTAGAGGCAACTCTAGATACAATTTGTCCCTGGAGGAGGTTGATGACTTACTGGGAGCCATTTGTTACCTTGGAGATTAAGGAAGATAAGAAGCCGGTCACGTTGCATGATCAAATGTATCAGGCTATGGAGGAACAAAAGCAAAGAGTCTTCCCTGTACACAAAGTGCTACTAGAAACCATAAAGGAGTGGCAGGATCCGGAGAGAGAGCCTTTCTTTGCTAAATCTCTCAAACGCAGGTTCCCGTTTGACGATTCGTCCGCGATGTGGAATAAAAGCCCCAAGCTGGACGTGGCATGTTCTCAGGTAGCCAGGAAAATGGATCTAGCCTTTGAGGACATGGTAGTCTTCTCTAATACCATGAATAGAAGGGCAGATTCCCTTCTTAAAAAGTCCTGTGATTCCACATTATCCAACCCTAAAGCCTGCCATGGCCACTACAATGATAGCTCGAAACATGGAATATTGGCTCACACAGCTACAGTCCCATTTTGTAGAAGGATCCCTGAAGGACAAGATATTGGCCTCCTTCCAGACCTTGCTACAGGGGGTGGGCTATATTGCGGATGCCTCAGCAGAGTCAGTAAGAATGACGGCGAGGTCAGTGGCCCTAACAACTCTGCCCGCAGAGCCCTGTGGCTCAAGACATGGCAGGGGGACATCTCCAAAGTTAAACTTTGTGACATCCCGATCACGGGATTTTCTTTTTGGCCCAGGTCTTAAGACTGTGCTGGATCGCACCGCAGACAGGAAAAAAGCCTTTCCCCTTCAGAAAAAAAGGGGGGGGGGGGGATTTTGTCCCCAGTAAAAGCCCTGGGGGTAAACAGGAAGAGGCAGGGGAAGAGCAATTTTTTTATTTATTTTTTATTTTTTTTTTTTCCCCTCCCCCTGCCCCCATTGTCCTGAGCAGCCCCAAAAATTGCAATGACGGTGTTCCCCCAGTGGGAGAAAGATTGGGGGTCTTCCTCCCACAGTGGGAAGCGATGTCCTCCAGTCCCTTTATCCTGGGTATAGTTAGAAGGGGAAACTGCCGCGACAGAGGTTATTAGTGATGGAGCTCCCAAGATGTGCAGAGAAGACCTCTTCCCTACTGTCTTCTTTGAAGGAGTTGGAAGAGCAGAGGGTCGACATCAGGGTCCCCTCCGCAGAGATCGGCAGGTGTTTCTAATCCCATGTCTTTGTGGTCCGAAAGCCCTCCAGGAAAGTACAGGCTCATTCTGAACCTCAGGCTCTTGAACGAATCCATAAAATACAAGAGATTCTTTATGGAATCCGCTGGTGGCTTACCTAGACGATCTCCTATTGTTTGCAGACTCAGGGGAACAGCTGTAACGGGACATAACCTTGGTGATGAGACACCTGGCGAGTTTAGGCTGGCTAATAAACTTAGCCAAGTCAAATTTGATCCCGGCCCAAAGGATGTTTTACCTGGGCTACGAACTGGATTCCACCCCTCAGAAGACCTTTCTTACCCCAGGAGAAAATCCTAAAGTTGGACAGGGGAATTAAGCAGCTGCTAGGGAACTAGGCCGTGTCCCTAATATAGTCCATGTTGGTGTTGGGCCTGCTAACTTCGTCCATCCCGGCGGTACAGAGGGCAGGTTTGCATTTGCGGCCCCTCCAGCTTGTTCATTCTGGACATCTGGGATTGCCGGCAGGAGTCTTTGGACTCTTTGGTACAGGTACCCCCCTCGAGTGAAGAGGGCCCTCTGGTGGCGGAGGTGGTCAGCCAATTTGGCTCAGGGGCTGTTATGGGTCTTGCCTATCTCCAAGGAAGTTGCTACAAACGCAAGCGCCAGAGGTTGGGGAGCGCATCTAGAGGGGTCTGGGGCGCAGGCTTCTTGGCTACCAGAAGAGTGGGACAGATCCTCGAACTGGTGGAAAGAACTCAAAGCATTATTGCGGGCCCTTGTGGCCTTCCGGGAGCATCTATGGGGACAACACGTGCGGGTCCTCTCAGACAACTCCTCTGTCGTATGTCAACAGACAGGGAGGAACTCGATCGAAGCAAGACTCTGTGGTCCCTGGACTTGGAACTGCTCACCTGGGCCAAGACCAATGTAGCCTCCTTATCCGCCGTCCACCTGAAGGGGGATCTGAACTAAGTGGCAGACTTTCTCAGCAGGAGGCAGCTGAGGGACCAGAATGGGTGCTCAGTTGGGAGATCTGCCAGGCCATCATAGGGGAGTAGGGGGTTCCATCCATAGACCTTTTTGCGTCGGGCCGGAATACCAAAGTCCCAGTTTTCTTCTCCCTAAACCATTGGGACGGGGCGTTGGCAGTGGATAAACTAGCGCAGCGGTGGGACTTTTCCCTGTGTTATGCCTCCCCTCCATCTCCTTATTGCCAGCAGTTTTGAGGAAATTCAGATCCGAGTGAACTTCCCTGATCCTGATAGCCCTGCTCCTGCCCAGTCTGGCTTGGTTTTCGACCCTGGCAGCCCTGGCCGTCTACCCCCCTTGGATATTGCCATGCCGAGAGGACTTGCTTTCTCAGGTTCTGATCCTTTGTCCCCAAGTAAGCAGATGGAACCTAGAGGCCTGGTTTTCAGGAGCAAGGAAGGGTTGTAAAGCTTCCAGGCGCACTTTAGGTGGCTAAGACTGGCAATTAGATAGGCATGTCTGACCGAGGGTCTGGAAGTCCCAGAGGGCATCGTGGCATACTCCACCCGGGCCATGGCGGCCAAGTACGCTGAGCTGGCTGGTGCAACCCCAGGACAGATTTGTAGGGCTGCTACCTGGTCCAATTACAACACCTTCCTTAAGCACTACAGACTTGACCTGGTCTCGGTAGAGCAGCAGGCCTTTGTACGCAAGGTTCTGCAAGCAGTGGTCCAAAGACGGGAAGGGGAAAAAGCAAAGTTACACTTAATATAACGCCTTTTCCAGTAGTCTTTCAGGACAGCACCAGTTACCTACCCTTTTTTTTTTTTTTTTTTTTTTTTTTCTTAGCTTTTGGTTACACGGTACGGTTCTTTTTCATGTCTTGTATTGTGTCTCCCCAGGTGACCGGAGGTGCTAAGTCATGAACTGAGGTCGGTGAGGGAGGCTGCATTTTTATTCTGGGTGGAGGTGTTTACTCAGGTGGGGAGGAGCCGAGGTCTCCCAAGGTGCTGTCCTGAAAGACTCCTGGAAAAGGCGTTGCCTTAAGTGTAACTTTACTTTTTTTTTTTTTTTTTCCCCTACATTTTCGGTCATTTTTCCATTTTATTTAGCAAAATAATTTTTTTTTTTTTAAATGGTGATTAAAAACCACCAAAGTAAAGCTCTATTTGTGTGAAAAATATGATAAAAATTTCACATGGGGTACAGTGTTGCATGAGTATTGTAATTGTCATTCAAAGTGTGACAGCACTGAAAGCTGAAAATTGGCCTGAACAGGAAGGGTGAAAGTGCCCAGTACTGTAGTGGTTAAGGTTTGTACTGGTCCTGCTTATCCTATACTTGGTAATAATGTGATACATCTACTTAAAAATGTCCTGGAGTTTTATAGTATTTTTGGAGGCAGGGGGTCAAAAAGAATAGGAAGTGAAAATCAACCGAAAGTTTCTACCTGTTTTGATTTAAAAAAAAAAAAAGACACTGGATAATGTACCCTTTTTCTGGGTGTTCTTTCAGTTGTGAAAAACTACTTTCAGCACCGGGAGTTCAGTTTCACCCTGAAAGATGACATATATGTACGATATCAGTCCTTCAACAACCAGAGTGAACTGGAGAAGGAAATGCAGAAGATGAATCCATACAAAATAGATATTGGAGCAGTATACTCCCACAAGGTGACCACTCTATGGTTTTTTTTTTCTTTTTCTAACAGTTCTATAGAATATAGTGTTTATTATCCTTGCGTAACTCAAAACGTATTATTACACATTATTGCTTTATTAGACCATGTAATTTTGATGTTTACATTATTTTTTACCTTTTTTTTTTTGTCTTTTTCCTGATTGTATGGAATTTCACTGTTCCATGTTGAACCGGTTCCTGCCTGACCTATAGTACAATGACGGCCGGGCCGGACTTTCCTCCTCCTGGATGGACGTCATATGACATCCTCCCAGACTTGAAGCTCATAGTACAGGGTGCTACCCTGTTAAAAGTAATGGGTCAGTGACCAAATCAGAGGAAGAAACAGTCCTTCCTAAAAGGATCAGACACTCTGAAGACCAGACAACCACCAGCAACGCCATATACCCCATTGGTGAATCGGCAAACGCCAACAGCGCTAGACCCCTGGTTGAAAGTACTAGTACTGGAGTATCACACCAGACCCCAAAAATTTAGGGTCTGTACATATCTCCCAGATGCACTTGCGAACCCATTATAGCTGCCTTCTAACTCAGGATGAGCTACAATCCCCCCTATTACTGTACAACCAGGTGTTCAGGTCAACATTGAAGATTGTTTTTTTTTTTTTCCACCGACCATTTCCTTCTCCTGATTGTGAAACAGGTCAATCTTTGCAAACATTGTAAACAACTCCAATTTATTCTATGCCCGTCCTTTTGAATAGAAACGTCTCACAGTAGAGGAGTTCCAATTATTTTTGGGCCTCACAAACATGGGGCTTGCAAAAAAAATGAGTTGCATGCTTACTGGTCCACCCATCCCATCCATCACATGCCCATGTAGTTAGCTGTAACGTCCAGGTCACGCTATGACATGATCGTGCGCTTCCTCCATTTCGGCGCTAATTCACAGTGCCTTCCCTGAGATCAGTCTGGCTATGATAAGCTTTACAAAATCCACCCACTAATTATGGTCACTGCGTTTAAACACTTTTTGCACTGCGCCTCTAGGACCGGGCCTTTTGGCCAAGTTCTGGGCAATTTTTTTTGCTACAGGCCTCAGGGCCTGGTCAGTGCACAATTTGGGCACGACAACTTTTTTTATTTTTATAGATTTATTTAATTAATTTATTTATTTTTACACTCCCACGTTTGTCACTTTTACTTATGTGTGTGTTTTCTTCACATGATGGAGGGTGTGGGTCCTCGGGCCTGCCCTGAAGTCTAGGGGGAGGATGTGTGGCCTTTCGGTTCCTTCCTCCCCTGATCCCTAGGGGGTTTTCTCTTCGGGAGAGCCCCCTAACCAAGTACTGGATGTCCGGCTTCGGCTGGGCATAAGGAACGGTGGTCCACCAGGCCTTTTGGCCAGGAGGACCAAATGGGAACCTTGTCCCTGTCAGGAGCTTTGTGCCCCGGGGGATCAGGGTAGTGGTCCAACCCCTTCGGGGGTAGGACAAAGCACACCCCTAAGTGCACTTTTTGTGTGGTGTTTTTGCACTTGCACTTTTTTGTGAAACACTTACGGGTTTTTCGTTGTAGTCTGCACGTTTGCGGACTTAAAAAAAAAAAAAAAAAGGGATAAAGGACACCCCTGGCGTGCTCCCCTTTGAATTGGAAAAGGGGAGGATTGTCGGGAAAGATACTGAACTGTGGCAGAGGGTCCCCGATATTGAGCTCTCAGCCAGGATGTAAAGGTGGACCGGATTCCCTATTTTATCCAGAACGCACGCACGCACGCACGCACGCACACACACACACACACACACACACACACACACACGCCAAGAATCATACCAAGGGTTCTGTTTTGGTGCAGCAGATGGATAAGATGAATGAAAGCCCCCTTGATTTTTGTGAATAAGGTCATTTGGGTGGTTATTTGTGCTGTGCTGGCATTTTAGGGCTTCGAGTAATGAGATAGGCACTCAGTACATCAGGACTGATCCATTTTCAGTGATACATATATTGGCTTGTAGACTCTAATTTATAAGGGGAAAAACTACTTATTTGCTAAATTTTTATAATGGAAAAGAAGACCTTTTTTCAAAAATTTCCAGTATTTGTTTATATCGCAAAAAAATAATTAAAGTGATTAAATACCACCAAAGGAAAGCTCTGTATTGCATGACTGTCATTCAAAGTGTTAGAGCACTGAAAGCTGAAAATTGGCTTGGGCAGGAAGGGGATTGAAGTGGTTAAATCCTGTGACGTTCATACATCTAGCTATTTATAACTTTCATAACATTTGTTGTACTGCCTATTATAGCTTTATTTTTTTTGCTTTCTAACACACACATGCCATGGACACTCTTGCGCATTGGGCAGTCCTAATTCTAATAAGTGCCATTTTTAGATAAAAAAATTCTGGCATGATAGTGTATTCTCTGTTATTGTGTATCGATGTTAAGAGACATTTGATGCTTGCGTAACCACTTGCTGTACAATGTATGTATATGTAATGGACAGCAAGTGGTTATACTAGGATTGTAGCTGCAGCCATTATCCTTTTTTAATATTTTTTTCTTAGCTGGTAATCTGCTTTCATTTAAAAGTGATCTGAGCAGCTCTATAGCTGCCCGACCATTTTGTAGGGTTGCAGAGCCCTTCATTTCCTAATAACCTATAAAGGCATTTAACTGCTTCCCCGCTGCCCCATAGCACAAATACTGCTGCAGGGCCGCACAATCGTGTGTCTGTGTGTGTGTGATTTTGCAGCTCCGGGTAGGGGGCACGCGTGCCACCATAGGCAGCTACGGCTGTCAATCACCAGGTTCCGGACGGAGATCTCTTTCCTATCAGCTCCAACATGCTGCTTTGTTTTGCTGTACATAGCAGAGCAATACAAAGCAGCATCCTTACACAGTAAAGAGCACACAGCTAACCCTCTGATCGCCCCTGGTTATTAACCCCTTCCTGCCCAGTGTCATTAGTACAGTGTCAGTTCTTTTTATTAGCGCTGGTTACTGTATTCGTGTCAGTGGCAGTTAGTTCCCACGCAATGTCAGAATGCCCCCTGCACTCCTGCTATAAGTCGCTGATCGCTGCCATTACTAGTAAAATAAAAATTTAATTCCAGTATATATAACTCCATTTGTAGACAACTTTCACGTAAACTAATTAATTTACGCGCATAGAGATTATTATTTTATTTTTATTTTTTTTTTTAGCAAAGACATGTAGCAGAATACATTTTGGCCTAAATTTATGATGAAGTTTTGATTTGTAAAATATTTTTACTGGATATGTTTTATAGAACAAAAACCAAAATATATATTTTCAGAATTGTTGGTCTTTTTTTTTTTTTTTGTTTCATAGCGTAAAAAATAAATGCAGAGGTGAATAAATACCACCAAAAGCTCTATTTTTTGGGGGGGGGGGGGAAAGGACATAAATGTCATTTGGGTGCAGCGTTGCATGACTGCACAATTGTCAGTTAAAGTAACGCTGCGCCATATTGCTAAAAATGGCCTGGTCAGGAAGGGGGGTAAATCCTCTGGAGGGCAAGTGGTTAAAGGCATTCAGACAATTTTAGGTACTGCAGTTTGTTGCTATTTCACAGGCATGCAGTAAATCTTGACAAGTTATAATTATTTAATCAATGCAACATCATCTTTTATATTTTATTTTAAAAATGTGTTTTACGTTCTTTTGTGTGCACTAAAATTAATTTGAGTGTAATTTTTTCTGAATGTTTGCATTCAATAAATGGCTGTGCAAATATTGTGCAAAATTGGGGGGGGGGGGGGGGAGAAGGTAGGAACAGCCACCATTTTATTATCCAGGGCCTCTGCTTTCAGAAAAATTTTTTGAGATCGAAGTAATCTTGTAAGTAAATATTGATTTTAATATGTATATAAAAAATGTCAAATTTGCCCAGGATGGCAATAAGTTAGTCTAAACTGATTTTTACATATTCAGGTGTTCTTTAATACCCAACCCTTCTACAACATACAGTTACATTGTTATCGCTCTTCCATTCAGTACCAGAAGGAATGTCTGGTACTTCCAGATATGGAGAAGCATGTGACACACTCCATGGGTCGATCAGTGGTTTTGCGCAGGGAGTCCATAGTCCTGTGCAAGCTACAACTCATAGCCCACTCAGGACTTTTCCTTTACTCTCAGCATCTGATATTTTTACTATATGCTGCCTAAAATGCCTTAAAATGTCTAAATGACTGAGACAAAAATGATGCACCAGTCTTGTGTATTTCCTCAAGTGCAGTTTATTAATAAAATGAATAAAAATTATACTCACAAAGGCCAAATAGTTGCTAATAGTTTTGAAAGACAGACACAGCAAGTTCTTCCCCTCAATAAGAAAGGCAACACTGTAATAGAGGCTTGCTCAGTGTGTGTGTGTGTGTGTGTGTGTCTGTGTGTGTGTTCCTCAGTTAAAAATAGTGGTTGTGTGTATCTTGACAAGTTTGGAAATTATGTTTATGAATTTTCTCTCCACAGCCCAGCTTGCACAACTCGGTGAAATCGGGAACATTTCAAGCACAAGAGAAGGAGTTGGTGTTTGATATTGATATGACAGATTATGATGATGTTCGGAGGTGCTGCAGGTAAATGCTATATTCTCTCGTTTTCTGAGTCTGTGGTACCAACTGTGTTGTACTGCCCCAAGTTACAAAAATATAAGGTATACTGCAGACATTGAATTGTGAATTAGATTTGGCTTATGTGCATACCTGCGCACCAAATTTCAGTGTGCTTAAAGTAGTTTTATGGTCACAGCATACTTTTCATTTTATAAGAAATGAATTGTAATATAAATAAAAGCAATAGTTATTTGACAGTCCAATATAAGCTCACTTGAAAAATCCACTTTTCAGGTAACAATTTTGGGGACATCATGTTGTGAAATGGTGAACCATTTTCCAAATGAATCAAACTAAAGATGGTCAGACATGAGAGAATATTCCCTCTGTATTTGATTTCGGTGTCTCAAATCCCTGCCTCTTGTCCCCACTGCACATTTATACATTTTGATTCCAACTAATTATTTATACAACAACCCCTTCAACTCTATCATGTTAATAATCTAGACCCCCCCCCCCCCCCCCCACCTACTTGGAAGACTAAGGCCTCATGTACACTGGACCTTTTTGATATCTTTCCTAGACGTCCTTCCTCCTGGTATCAGCGTTTTATCAGGAAAACCGTTTGCCTGTAAACACGTTTAAGCGTGTCATACACTTGGGAGTTAATTTCATTGGCTAGTATATCATTTATTCTGGCCATTAAAATTAACACTCAAGTGCTAAACACACAATTACAGATGTCAAGCATTTTTTGCCAAACCACCACTGCTCCTGGATGCATGGAAAGTGGTTTTTTTTTCTGCCTTTTAAACATCCCAGCCTCTAAACTCCTAATGTGTGCATGGACACACAGGCTAACATGCAGGGACGTTTAGAGGCAGAACAAAAAAGTCAGGCTCCCTTTAGGAGCAGTGTTAAAAACATCCAGTCCATTCATATGGCAAGTCACTGTATCACTTAATTGCTTACCATGTTTGAGAAGCCATATTGTTATGGATGAACTTGTACACGCTTTTGTAGTCTTACTTCGGGCTTGCATGTTGCAGGTCCTATTATTGCTCTTTAACAAAATTCCCCTATCCAACTAAACTTGTGCACCTTATGTAACCCCCAGTTATTTTGAATATGTTCTAGCTGTGCATGTGTTTTTTGACAAGCTCTACTGTTCATAAAAGTTTGTGCTTTTGGTTTTGCTTCCTAGCCTCTGCGTTCCATTCTTTTCCATAGATGAGGGTAGCAGACTTGCCCTTCAAGTGATATCAGCTAACAATGTACTTGGGGACCTAAGAGCAATTGCCCCAGGTATCCGATTTCAGCCAGCTTGGTCCTCCATTCCAACAACACACTGCTTCTAGTGTGCTCTTTAACAGAATTTTACACCAAGTTTCTATTTTTAAATGTTATGCAAGAGCTGATTGTACATGATTTTACCCCCCATCATGGCGAATACATTGTCACTAGCTGATCATTTAATTAATGTTTCACAACTATTTACATTGAATTTTTGTTTTAACTACTACTAGTATACAGTAACCTACTTCATGATGTTCCAGTTCTGCAGATATATGCAATAAGTGCTGGACTCTAATGACCATTGCCATGAGAATACTGGATAGAGCACTAGCAGGTAAGTAGTGTTGTATGAGGCTAGAGGTTTTACTATAATCAGTAAAAATGCTTTGAGAGTTACAGTATTTTTCACAGTGCTACTTCTATCGCCTTATCAAATATGTGCTAGAAGTAAGCTTGTCTCAATTTTATTTAACACATTTTTTGCTAATACAACTAATCTGCCTCTTACATATGCTTTCATAAAGCTTCAGTCTTTTATAAGCATCACTTCTACAAACAAAACCTCAGCTTAACAAACTTAGCTACTGTAGGAACTTGAAATCATTAAGAAATAGCATCCTTTTGTTTAGGTATGTGAGCATGCATGCATACACTTATATTGTTGTTGCTGTCCACCCTCTTAAACTTTGTCGCTTCCCATTCTTGACATGCATTGCTGAATCTGCCACTTGCATTCAGCAGTGTCCCTTTTGCCTTATGCTGGTACTGTTCTTAGGAGTATACTATTTAGAAAGCAAGAGGTAAAACGTCTGCAGAGTAGAGTAGCAACTGACCAGACAAGAATAACTTTGATGCAATTGGCCAGCTTGAAATTGCATTGCATTGTACGCAAACTAAGAATAATTTGATTTTTCTTTCTTTTTTTTTAAATTTTTTTTAGAGGACTTTGGGTTCCAGTATCGATTATGGATATATTCAGGCAGGAGAGGAGTCCATTGCTGGGTGTGTGATGAATCTGCCAGGAAGCTCTCCCAAGCTGAAAGATCTGCTGTAGCAGAGTATTTAAGTGTGGTGAAGGTAGAGTATTAATGATCGTCTTTTGTGGTTATCTGTAGCTATGTTTGCAATGCAAAATATTGTTTCTCATTAGTTAGCCCAAGATGGCCAAAAATATGAATTCACAACCAGATTTAGGAAAGATGCAGCTTTATAGTATTGAAGAACACTTGCCGGCTAACACCACATTCTGGAAAAAAAAATTGGTGTATGTATTAATAGATATAGGTAATGTATCCCCAATTCCAAAAAAAAAGTTGAGACGCACAAACCCATATTTTATTCACAATAGACCACATATTATATGTACAATTTTAAGAAAAAAAAAAAGGTAATTTTGAAATTGATAGAAGCATTAGATCAGGGCCAAAAAAAAAAAAAAAAAAAAAAGGGCTGCAGGTTTTACTAAAAAAAAAGAGCTGGAAGAACATTTTTGTAACTAATTAGGTTAATTGGCAACATGTCAATAACATGATTGGCTATAAAAAGAGCATCTTAAAGAGTGTCGCAGAGGTTCACCAGTCTGTAAAAAGCTGCATCTAAAAGTTGTCAAACTATGTCAGAATAATGTTCCTCAACATAAAATTTTAAAGACCTTAAATATCATCTACAGTACATAATATAAAAAGATTCAGAGAATCTATATAATTCTGTTCTGTGCTCAGACAAATCAAAATCTTACATTCTTTTGACAACCATGGGCACAGCATCCTCTGGATTAAAGAGGAGAGGGACCTTCCGGTATCTGCACAGTTCAAAAGCCTATATCTCTGATGGTATGGGGCTGCATTAATGCATATGGAATGGACAGCTTACACATCTGTAAAGCCACCATTATTGCTGAAAGATATATTCAGGTTTTAGAGCAGCATATGCTCCCATCCAGGCAACATCTTTTTCCAGGAAGGCCTGGCATATTTCAGCAGGACAATGCTAAACCATATACTGCGTCAATGGCTACATAGTTGTAGAGTCTGGGTGCCTAACTGGCTTGCCTGCAGTCCAGACCTTTCACAAAGAAAATATTTGGCGCATCTTGAAACAAAAAAATATGATAAAGATGACCCAGGTATGTTGAACCGTTGAATCTTATATCGGCCAAGAATAGAACAACATTCCGAGTTAAAAGAAGAGAGGATGCTACACCGTGGTAAACGTGGCCCTGTCCCAACTGTTTTGAAATGTTTTGCTGCCATCAATTTCCCTTTTTTTTTTTTTTTTTTTTTTTTTTTTTTTTTTCTTTTCTTAAAATGGTACATTTTCTCAGTTTAAACATTTTGATACAGTATGTCTTATATTTTCCATTGTACTTAAAACTATGGGTTTGAGATTCGCACATCATTGCATTCTGTGTCCAAAACTTTTTGGAATTGGGGTTGTAATTACACGCTATGCAGACAAGACTTTACTAGAAAATAAATATTGATGCAAATGTTTACATCATTCTAATATACTTTGTATGTTTAACAGTGCTGGGACATACTGAGACACGGGATTGTTACTTCTTTTCCTCCCTGGGAGAACAAAGGTTATACTTTGTCTCTGCCCCGTTAACTTTTCTGGACCGCTTAGTCTGTATGTAAATGTGGAAGACAAATACTGTAAATTTGCAGGAACAAAGAGAAACGTTGAATCCATATACTGAATATTATAAGTATGTGTTCATGTCTTACAGTTATCAAGCTACATTATTTTTTGTGATGCTGGTCCTTTAAGCAGGATCTTTATGTTGGTTATTCATTTTAAATGTGTAAGTCCAGCCAAAACTTTTAACGAAAACTGATTTTTTTTATTGACAGTGTGTTTTCTCTGTGTGCTCTTTGCAGAGAGGCTAGCTCAGCCACAGGAATGCCAGGTGCTGCTCATTAGTAAGCATAGGCTTGCTCACCCCTGTAAATGAACGACCAGTGCTGCCGAGTTGTGTCATACATGGCACTGGCTCAGCTTTACTGATTGTTGATTCGTTAAAGTGAAAGATCACGCAGAGCTGGGGTTGTGTATGTTTAACCACCTCCCGTCCGCCATATAGTAATATGACGGACACAAAGTGGTTCTTTCGTTCTGGGAGGACGTCATATGACATCCTCCCATTCTAACCGCGCATGCGTGGCTCCCGGAGCACGCGGAGACACAGTGAATCACCGATGCACGGAAAGAGCCGAAAATGTTGACTCGGTCATGTGATCAGCTGTGTCCAATCACAGCTGATCACATGTAAACAGGGAAATGCTGGTTATCGGCATTTCTCTCCTCTCGAGCTGTCACGCTGAGGGGACATTCTCGGCATTCCACGGAGGGGACATGTACACTGATGGTCAGTGTAGCCCCAGCAGTGGCCACCTGTCAGTGTCCATCAGTGCCACGTGCCAGTGCCATATCAGTGCCCATCTGAGCTGCCATTCAGTATCACCCGTCAGTGCCGCCTATCAGTGCTGCCTTTCAATGCCCATCAGTGCCACCTATTGGTGTCCATCAGTGCCCATCACTGCAGCCTCATTAGCGCACATCAGTGAAGAAGAAAAATCACTTATTTACAAAATTTTATAACAAAAACTAAGAAAAGGTGTTTTTTTTTTCAAAATTTTTAGTGGTTTTTGGTTTAAGAAAAAATGAAAAAAACCCAGAGTTGATTAAATACCAGCAAAATAAGGCTCTATCTGTCACAAAAAAATGATAAAAATTTCATATGGGTACAGTGTTGCATGACCGCGCAATTGTCATTCAAAGTGCAACAGCGCTGAAAGCTGGAAATTGGCCTGGGCAGGAAGGGGGTATAAGTGCCCTGTAGGCTTGTGGTTAAAAGCGGCCACAGATTAACACTCCGTGCTGAGAGATCTGTCACCATTATAAATGAATGAACACCACAGCTTGTTCGTTCAGAATAGTAAAGAGCAGTTAGAGCTGCAGCTCCATTTTATCTGTCTGCATCTGCCTTTGCACATAACAGGGTGCTGGCAGATACTTTATATGGAGCTGCAGCATTGAGTGATAATTTACCTTTATGAATGAACAAGCAGCGTTGATTGTTCATTCATAATTGTATTAATATACTTAGCTGAGAGAGCGGGGGCTCTGTGCTGGCTGTACCTTCTCCCACAGGCATGCCCATATTTTGGGCCTTTAAAATAGGGTAGAGCTAAAGCCAGCATTAAGTCTAGGTTCACACCTCAGTGTTTTGCAGAAATACACCACAGTCCATTTAACATGATTTCCTATGGGACACGTTCACATCTCTGTGTTTTGCACCGGGTGCATTTTTTGGAAAAGGTCAGGGGCTTTTTTTAATGCAAATTGTTGCTTTTTGGTTCAATAGACCAATGGAAACGCTGCAGATTTAGTGCAGTTTTAATTTGCGCAGCAACAAGTTGGCAAAAAAAGCATCAAACACATGCAAAAAAGCACCACAGAGACAGATCAAACACAACCTGCATAAGTGTGAACCTAGTCTAAGAGGTGATTTTAAGAGACAGCAAAGCCACTGATCAAAACAGGACCATGTTCTTCTTCTTTTTTTCTCTTTCCATTTTCAACTGCTGAAAAGAAATTTTACCATTTTGCAGTAGGTAAAATCTTACTGTTTAATTACAATACAAAACCTGTAGGTTTCACATTTCACTTCTGCTAATCTGAGCTGCTTGTGACTATTTTTCTCTAGGGAGGAGAGGAGACCATAAAGAAAGTTCAGCTCTCTGATCCCATTCACCCATTTGTCAGGTATGTATAGCTAGCTATTGATGATACCAATGATACCATTTGGTTTACTGTCTACTTGATAAATATTTCTGTTTTCCTCTCCCTTTTTTTTCCCCTTTTTCTGTGTGCATCACCCTCTTGGTTACTGGCTCAGATCATTTGTATGTCACGGTTGCTGAACTGTGCAATGAAGGCTAGGTAGCTGCATCCTTACTATCTATTAAAACAGTTTTGCTCCTTTTTTTTGTGCGTTAAATGAAAACTAGACAGTGAAGAGACCAAGCCCACAGAGTCCATATTTTCTACTTGTACTTACTGCCTCACTATAGCCTGTCTATGCTAGCTAGCTTACTATATAAGTACAGAGCAAGTAGTGTATAGCAGGGCTTACAATTTCAAGTCCTGCGCTACTAGCCAGGCCTTAAGAGTTACTCACCACCAACAAAGACAGACAAAAACCGAGACATCTGTACATACACACACACACAGACATGTACATGTACATACACACAGACATGCACACACATACAGACACGTACAGACACGCATACACAAACACCCGTACATACATGCACACAAAACACACGTGTGCACGTGCGCAGACACATGCGTAGAGATACACACATGTACATACACGCAGACACACCCCCTATAAAAAGTTGCAGTACTTCTTTGTTCACTCACAGAGCCTGGTACTGCACTCTAGGGGGAGGCAGAGAGCACAGCACACACTCCTTCCTTTGCTTTCACTGCGCTCAGCTATTGAGCAGTCTGGCGGCTCCCAGTGCCAATGACAGATCCGGCCTGAGCTCCGAGCCTGCTCAGCAAGACGGCCCTGGTGGACACACTTGCCCCCACCATAATTTCCACTCGCCATTGGCGAGCAGGCGAAAGGAAATTTCAAGGCCTGGTGTATCGTATTTTTGTTTAGTGTGGCAATTAAAGTGCCAATCAACAATAAGAATAAAGTGACCAGTTTCCACTTCTGATGTTCAAATGTTAACCAAAAACAGCCTACTAGTCAAAATGAGTTTTCCATTTATAAAGAGCAAGTACTAAACAAATTGTGTTAGTGTTAAACTATGTGAAAAAGTACAGTTCACATATGTGTAAACGAAAATTCAAAAGTTTCTAAGTGTAAATAATATTAGTCCACTGATTTTTGGATAGAAAAAAAAAAAGTGTCAGTAGTCCACCAATCTTCACATGGGCGGCAGCTACAGGACCAGCAACGTATCCATACGTCGCTGTGGCTGTATCTACTCTGACACAGTGGAATGTGGATCCTGGTAATCAGGACCCAGTGATTATGTGATTGCTTGTGATCACAATGTTAGCAAAGCAGTTATAAATCAATCAGAATCATACTAGCTTTCCTTCTCTTCCTAGTGGGCTGTGATTGGCCCACAGCTCTCACATGGTACATGGGCCAGTCACAGCACCCTGTACCATGTGATTAAGTATAGCCAATCACAGATCACTTATTTTGAAGTGTCATGAACTTAACCCATTCATGACAATTCAAAGCAATAAACTTTGCTCCTGCAATGCAAATTGTATAAAAAAAAAAAAAAAAATCTCCCCCCTACGAGTATTTAGTCAATTCGGTTTTGCTGGATATAAACCGCGTTATTTTAAAATTGGGAAAGCAAGCATCAGATCACACCGATCTTGGGGTGATCAGATGCTTTAGGGGCTGAAGAGAGCTCTTGAGTCTAATAGACCTTAGTTTCTCAGAAAAGAGTTCCTGTCACTGCCTATTGCTATCACACTGGATATTTACATTCCATGTGATAACCATAAAAGTGATTAAAAAAAAAATAATGAAAGGGACAGTATAAAAATGGGGGGGGGGGGGGGGACAAAATCATTAAGAAATGTGTAAGTCCCGTGTCTGTATGTGTACAGAGATTGCACCATGCATGTGAGGTATGACCGCGAATGTCAGATCAAGGGCAGTGTTTCTAGCATTAGTCCTCCTATGTAAATCTAAAGTGGTAACCTGTAAAGACAAGTGTTGCCTATGGATATTAAATATTTATGTAGTTTGTTGCCATTGCACAATGCAGGCATGCGCAATTTTAAAGTATGTCATGTTTTGAATCTATTTACTCAGCGTAACATAATATGTTTCCCAACTGTTTCATAAAATATAAAAAAAATTGAGTTTTTAACATTGCCCTCCAGAGGATTTACCCCCCCCCCCCCCTTCCTGGCCAGGCCATTATTTGCGTTACGGCGCTGCGTTACTTTAACCGACAATTGCGCAGTCATGCAACGCTGCACACAAACTACGTCGTTTTTTTTTTTTTTTTTTTTTTCTCCCAGGAATAGAGCTTTCTTTCGGTGGTATTTGATCACCTGTGCATGTTTTTTGCACTATAAAAAGACCGACAATCTTGAGACAAATCAATATTTTTTGTGTCCAGTAAAAAAAAATTTTAAATTCAAATTTCATCTTAAATTTAGGCCAAAATGTATTCTGCTACATGTCTTTGCTAAAAAAAAAAAATCCCAATACGTGTAAATTAATTGGTTTACATGACAGTTACAGCGTTTGCAAATGGTGGTATATATACTGGTGTTTTTGTTTGTTTTTTGTTTTTTTACTAGTAATGGCAGCGATCAGCGACTTAAAGTGGGACTGCGGTGGGAATTCTGACACTGGGGGGAACTGACTTGGTGTCACTGACATCCCCAGTGACCCCAATACAGTGATCAGTGCTAATAAAAAGCTCTGACACCGTACTAATGGCACTTGGGAGGAAGGGTTGACGAGGGGTGATCAAAGGGTTAACTGTGTGTTTTACTAGGGGCTGTCTCTGTGTGCTTCACTGTAAGCACACTGCTTTGCATGGCTGGCTTTGCCCAGCCATGCAAAGCAGTGTGCAGGAGCTGACGGGAGAGAACTGTTTTGTTTACAAACAATTATCTCCCTGTTGGAGATGCTCGGTAATCACCGGGCTCTGGCGAGTAGTCACCGGCCGGGCCCAATGATTGACAGCTGCGGCTGTGAATGGCGGCATGGGGGTTCAAAGTAATTCTCTAGTAAAAAAAGAAAAAATTTCATGTAAAAGAAAAGTGGGTGGTGTGTGGCATAAGCTTCTAATGTTGGCTTTGAAATGCCAGGATAGTTGAAGCCCCCCCTCAAATGACCCCTTTTGGAAAGTAGACACTCCACGGTATTTGCTAAGGGGCATGGTGAGTATTTTGCAGATCTCATTTGTTGCCACAAGTTTTTGCAAAATGAAAAAAGAAAACAATGTATTTTTCTTTTCTTTTTCAAAACTGTAACAAAAAAAAAAATCTGAAAAATACCCACAATGCCATCAAATTCTTTGAGGTGTCTGCTTTCCAAAAAAGGGTAATTTGGAGGGTGTTTGTACTATCCTGGCATTTTAGGGCTTCTGAAACTGTGATCGGTAATGAGGAAGTAACATGAGGAAATGTGCCCTTTGAAAGGCTGGAGGTGGTCATTGGATTTTGGAGGCCTCTATGTAGTTAGGCTGCCAAAAACGTCTCTGACATGTGGTATCCCCATACTTGGGAGAAGTAGCAGAATGTATTTTGGGGCGTTATTCCACATATACCCATGGCATGTGTGAGCAATATATCATTTATGTAGCAAGTTTGTGTGTAAAAAAAAAAAAAAAAAATTGTCATTTTCCAAAAATTTGTGGCAAAAAATAAAATCTTACATGGACTCAACAAGCCTCTCAGCAAATTCTTTGGGGTGTCTATTTTCCAAAACGGGTCATTCATTTTGGTGGGGTTTTTGTACTGCCCTGGCATTTTGGCACCTGAGTCAAAAAGAACCAATTAATCTGCACTTATTAGGATCTTTTTTTTGTTTATATCACAAAAAATTAAAAACCCAGTTGTGATCAAATGCCACCAAAAGAAATCTCTATTAGTGTGAAGGACATAAATTTAGTTTGGGTACAGTATTGCATGACTACACAATTACCAGTTGAAATAATGCAGTACCAAATAGCAAAAAAATGGCCGGGTCAGGAAGGGGGGTAAATCTTTCAGAGCTGAAGTGGATAATGTGTTGCATATGTTAACTGTTGTGTCTATATTTACACATAAGTGGATTGTAAATGTTTACAAATTGTAACATAAGCGCAGCTTGTTTAGCACTTGCACCTCATCAGGTAAAAAGTAGTTACTGAAACCGTAGCATACTCCAAAATGCCTATCCTTCCTAGACTGATATACCTTTTGCAACCCTTTACACTATTTACAGGACCTGCATTCATCTTTTCTACATTTTCTGTGGGCCCAAAAAAGGTTAGAATTAAATTTCAGACCCTTAAATCTAAACAGAGGTGAGTTAGGATTTCAGACCCAGTCAGATACAATGAAGCCGCTCATCTGGCTAGAATACCTGATTGGTGCACTTCACATTCTCTTAAATCTTGGGTCAGACTGGAACAGACTTTCATTCTCTCCCTCTACAGGGCCTACCCTGGATAGTCAACCATCTCCCATCAGAAATCAAACATCATCCTCTGGTCCCACTTGCATGATGGCCCAAAAAGTATTCTGCATCCCCAGAGTTTTTTTCCTTCCCCATTAACCTTGGTGTTGGGTACACTGGCCTGAACCATTTAATTCCAGGCTCTACACTTGGCTAGAGAAGTAAACTTTTTTGCTCCTATTCCCATCTGAAGTGCCACCTCAACTCATTTTTAGATGACTGGCATCTTCTTTCATGCTACCTCCACTCCTTCCCAGCAGATGAACAACGTTTGCAAGACAGCACATGGCAGGGTCTCCTCACTGATATAAACACTCACATTCTCTAATTTATTAGCAAAAGACACTAAAAGAGGTCATATGGGGAGGGGGGCTGGGAGGGCTGTTGTGCTATCCTGGCATTTCAGGGCCTCTGAAACTGTACCTTCCAGTATAAATAACATAGTTTGTAGACGCTATAGCTTTCACATAAACCAGTTAATATACACTTATTGGTATTTTTTTTTTTTTTTTTTTACCAAAGATATGTAGCAGAATAG